AGAGGCTACTGAGAGTAAGAGAGAGAAATATTGGAGAGCTGTCTATGGAGGGCAATGAGAATCTATCTCCATGGCCCATCTAGTGCTTGTGACCCTTGGCCACCTTTCATGGGACCAACATGGCTCTCTTCCTGTCAGTAAGTTAATATCTGCTCCATAGGGGCCTGGATGTTAAAGCAGCACTGACCTGCTGCAGACTGAGATGACGGCTTCTCTCAGCAGGTCCGTTACACTTCAAATTAGACCCAGTATAGTCTGGGGTTAAAGGTTGTGTAATTCGGTCCACCGAGTTAGCTGGACATAGTGGTCAGGTCATGTAAAAATGTCAGTTAGCTATGAAACAGATGGTTAAAGTCTTCATTCTGACTGGCTAGTTATATATTGCAAAATGGCAAGTGTAAATCCTGTTGGAAAGACTTTATAGCTAGACCACAATAGGACTTTTTAAAACTTTGTTGCTATAATAAGTCAGAATGAATCAGAATGCAGAAGTATTTTCTCATTTAGCTTCCTTAAATTTTTTCCTCACAACACAAACATTTTGAGAGGAACAAACAACATACTGACATTTTTCCTATTCCCAGGCTATGATCAAACTATAAGTTTGTCCTGAGGTTGGCATTACAGGAACAGCCAGGAGGTCATTAAAATGGCAGGATTTATTTCATTCGGTGGATAAATGTGCTCAGCTAATTTCATGGCAATCTGCCTGTTAGATTAGGCGATATCATTGTTTGAAATTTTGACTTGGTTGGGGGCTCAAGAGAAAAGCATGTGAAATATCCAAGATCAAAAGCATGTGTATGTTTTATATACAGTATATTTGCATGTCTGTCTATAAGTGAAATGTTTGCCCTGATAGTGGCCTGAAAATTCCTCTTCTTATGTGCCCCACACAAGGTACGCGTACATTACTGCTAGTGTGTTGTATATGCAAGTTCTGTGCCTGCATTGGCTGTGTTTATAAACCACTAATCCATACAACTGAAGCAAAACCAATGTTTTTAAAATGGCCATTGAGGAGGAATATGAGCTTGACTAAATTCAACACTACTGTAAAACCTTTGAACAGTTTAAGAATGCAAGAACAATGTTGTAATATTTTGCCAATGCGCCTGTTCATTTGTTCACACAGGAAGTTACTGTTTGTCATTAAGCACGTCGTCATGATACTCTTGACGATGCAGAAGACAGAGTAACGTTGCATATTTTGGTCTTCCATTGCTCTGCAAGTTCTTTACATACAGGAGGCTGTGTATCAGGCCATATATCTGATATTGGTCAGCTTGGAAGACCAGTTGAGGTGATATGTTGAGGTTGGTTAGATTTATTATTATTATTATGATATAATAGATGTAATAGTATTGTTTTTGTAAATGGTCTTTGCCTTTGAAGCCGATGAAACAGTCATATTACTCCCAAGAGCCATTGTTAACATAAAATGTTCTAATTTCATGCTGCTTACGCGGCTCATAAAGCTCAGCAATTATCTGTGAACTGCCATTTTCTCCTTGGTCTGAGGGATAGTAAATACTTGGTGTATGTAGATGTAAATTCAAACCTCCACCACAATTCCCTCTGTCTGACTGACTCATAATTAGAGGTGAGCCCACGTTATTAACTAGCATGGTCTGTGTTGTTTCTTTGCCTGCCTTCAGATTTGCGTGTGTTTCCTGAACGCTATGTTGTGTGTGTGAGCTGTCCAGAGGATGCCTCAGCGCTCCATGGAAACCCGAGCCTGGCTGCGGTGAGTGCTGTTTATACTCCTCTATTTCCTCTTCCAGTCGCCTGGCAAAAAGTCCTGCAAGGGTCTGTGTGTTATTATAGGGATGTGTTGCCAAATTGTGCTCTCACTTTATATATGCTGATCCTCTTTACGTGAGGGGTGCAGGAGGATGGGTCGTGGCTCTGAATCTGGCCAGGGCTTTTTCAGAAACCTAGTGAGGGGGAAACAGAGGATGGCAGGGGGTTGGGTGGAGTGAGGTGGGGTCAAAAGCTGCAGAGTCACCCCTTCTTTGAAAAGTCCTTGATCCCACAATCTGCCAATTCACCCCAGCTGTACAGTTTTAGTTCTTTTTCTTGTCTCAAACTTGGGGTTGTTGGAAACCTCAACATTAATGGGTAGTCAAAAATATAGCCAAAGCTAATTTTGTACATTTTAGCTCTTGAGAACGTCTAGATACTAACCACTCAAGATTGGTTTTTGGAAAAATGTTGCAGGGAAGAGAAACAGCTGAATTATTTCCTTTTATCCAAGCTCATTGTGGCATTGACATTGTCAGAACATAATATTAATCTCCTATCAAAATAATATTTTTTGTCTACCCTTTAACTGCCTATAAATACTTAGAAATATCATTAATATATTCTATTTTACAGCAACACTCACTTCATAATTCTGTTACATGTACATTGTTTGGGTTTTAAGGGATAATTCAGTTAAATTTCTGCAGTTAAATGCCATGTGTCTTAATTGATTGGACTCAGATAAAATTGTGTATTTCCCTGTAAGAGTCCTTGCTCTGTATATTATGTTGTACTCTTACCCATGTCATGGCTACTGTAGTTCTTTTTTGTCCATTCATATTACAGACAACTATCCTTTGGTCAGTGCTCATTTGATCCAAAACTCCCAAGAGTATTCTGGGAAATGGTAGTGGAGCCTCTCACCTTGGCACTCACATCAAGGACGGACATCTCTCCCATCACATCCCATGATCAGTGGCCTGCTGTTTTTCTATGGGGTTTTTTGCTATTGTTTCCCTTTGAAATGTCTCTGCTCTCTCCACAGCTTGGCTTCCAATGAAAGCAGTGATTGTAATATTTTTAGTGGAGCAACACAGTCGTCAGTGAAAAGTTCATATTGTGTAACCAATTTTCCAGTTCAAGGAGGCATTGCTGTCGATTGCGTTCCTCTTCTTCAGGATGTGGTTCTCTGGGCTCATATAGTACAAGCAGAGGGAATTGGAGGGTGGGAGTCTTGCGGTGGAGCTCTCACTAGTCCAACCTCAAACGTGGTTTGTAAGGGAAAGATACCAGACAGCAAGGCTAAAGTTTTTCACATGACAAAAACAATTATTTGTTTATGTCCCTTGCTGTGTTCTAATTTGTCAGAAGGGGAGTGTTTCAAAGAACATGTTGCCAAGAAAGTTGAAAATCCAAAATGAAAAACGTTTATGCAGTGAGTCACAACTGATGTAAGGCATAATAATGTTGCTGCCTAAAAATAATGGGGTATTCAGAGTTCTGTGTCAAAGTTGGTCATATGTTTATGAAAGGGTCTTTTATCCCACAACTCTTGACAGCACCAGCCTGCTAGTCCCAAAAAAGTGCCACATTTCCCTGTATTTAGGGAGGTTTCGGTTTTGTTGTTAGGATTCGGTTTGTGGGACTTGTTGAACAAAAATCCTTAACCGCAGTGGAAATGTAGACTCATCAAATCAGCACTTCTCACAAGGTCAGGGGGTTATGTTGTGAGGGAACTAAGGTGACATCATGGTTGGCCTTTTGTCCTGTAAAAGCCAACGTCTCTCTCCCACACTTGAGCATGCTTAATGTCTCTTGTATACTGTGCGCTCTTATTAGTCACATTTTCAGCTGTGGTTCAGTTAGAAGAGGAGATGGTGAGATTTAGTCATTTCCAGTATTGTACAAGGATCTAGGATACCAATTATTGTTTTTTTTCTGTACTCAAGGTCAATAAAACCTTCTTTTTCGACAGTGATAAATTATCCAAAAGTCCCGCGAGGTGTGGACAACTCGGCACAACACCAGTGAAACTGGGCCTCCGCTTGTTTCTTCAGCAAGTGTTCTTCTTTTGCTACCACACACGTACACGCTGGCCTACACATGCACACAGACGCCCCAGGGTTAGGGTTACAATTTTGGATTTATTTACGCACTTTAAAAACATTTATTGAATTTAATTTATTGGCAGAAAACTATCAGTTCTATGTAAAATCAGACGTTGAGCACCCCCATATCGCCACAATGGCATGATCCTTGTTTTGCTGCGAAGCTTCACTGTGAGGTTGACAGTCGAATCAGGCTCCGTCCATTGAAGCATCGAATCTTTCACTATTAGGGGTCAGCCCTACACTGTTTACTTTCTCACTTCCACACACCTGGTCAGTGTCCAGCGGCTTCTCGGCTGAAAAAGTGATCCAACAAGTGCTGCAGGTGGACTAACGCCATTGTCAAGCTTTGCGCTGGAACCAAGGAGGAGTAATAACCACAATTGTAACCTATAAACAAGATAGAAGCTGCAATCAATGCTGTTCTAGATCGACAAATCGATAAGTAGTTGCAATTGGCTCGCTTGGGCACACACAGCGACCTCGGTTCGAATGAAGCCTGCAGCCCTTTACTGCATTTCGTCTCCTCTTTCTCTCCTTTATGTCCTGTCTCTTTCCAATATCCTATCTGAAATAAAGGCAGAAATGCCCCTAAAATATATTTTTTTTAAAACTAAGGAGTTTGTTTGTTGTTTGCTCCTTTCCACTCTTAAAACCCCGGCAAAACCACTATGTTGGCATGTCATGTGTCGACTTAAAATGAAGTTAGATTCAGAATCAAATCCCCCTCCCCCACCGAGGCAATGTCACACTGAAGATGGAAATGTGTAACTACACTTCTGTCTGAAATCAGGCTGTTTGACCATCAGATAAGTGTCTTGGTTTGAGAATACTGAAGCCTTTAAAGTAATGACTGTCATGTATGGAGTGGTTGAGTAAATTTAACCCTGACATTGACCACATCTGTGGGGGCGACATTAAATTTAGCGCACCCTTGATATTTGCTCTATTTAAGAGACGACTATAAGCCTATTGTACTTGTTCTATTACAACTTAGAACCAACTTTTGCTCTGCAGAGGTACGGCCACTGAAACGATCGGGTTTGTGTGAGACCGTGGGAAACAAAAGAAAGGCATCTCTTAGACAATGTTTTTTCTTGACATTTGAAGATTCAAGTCCCTCATAAAAAGTCTTCTCCTATTGTGAGTCAGCACCAACAGCGAGGAGGGCAGCATGGGAAGGAAGAGCTAGTGTTTAGGATTGTGGCCGCTTGTTTTCTAGTCAGGCACAGAGTGGGCAGCTGAGGTGAGTGGCGTGCTGGGCCGCAGAAGTTTGGATCAAAGGCAGAGCAGATGTGTTTCCAGTCCCCCCCCTCTTCTGAGCTCTGGACGAGTCTGTGTGTTTACTCATGACCTCAGCGCGCCTCTTTTCTTCACAGCTCGCAACAGCTAGCAGCAGTGCTTTCCCAAGCGTCCAGTGTCTGCTGATCTCCTCTCCATCACGGCCAAATACATGGATGTGATCTCTTGCATGCAGAAAGGCTCTCTTCATGATCATGTCCCTTCATTCTACCCTGTCTTACGCTGTTTCATTGATTTGAGTCTGAACAGTTAACAGCTTGTCTTAATCCTTACACATGGGTGGATCCAAAAACTTGCCATTGTTCAGGGATAAGAACTGTCCTATTTTCGACAAGTATGTGCCCATGCATGTTTGTTGACTTTGTTGTAGGGAAGATGTGGTGAGCTTAGAGAAACACTGCATGTTTCCTCTGTGGGAGCAGGGTGGTTGGAGGGTGAGGGGTGGAATTTGTGGACTGGTTTTTCACGAACATCTCTGCAGGAGGTATTTCTGCACTGACAGTTAAATAGTGTTGTTGTTTCTTGGTGCCAGTTTAAGGATGTTGTGTACTTAGTTGTGCCTTTGCAAAGGCTTTCCAGTGTAAAGAATAATTCCATTTTTATAACTCAAATAGTTTTAGGGATTGAAGTATTTCAAGTGGTATGAATCATTATTTTCTGACAGATGAGTGATCACCAGGCTCTATAGGATCGCATCTAACTGGTTTTGTATGTGTAAGGTGAGGTACAAAGACATTAGAGTAATCCATGAACAAACAATCTGGCTTCCACTGTGGCAGATTACAAGTAAACATGACTTGATGGTTGATCGGAGCGTTTCATGCTGGCGTGTTTTCTGACTTGACATCTTGTTTTTCTTTTCCTGGTAATTTTCATGTTTTTATCCCAACTAAAAGTTTGCAGTGTCTTCATGATGAGATGAGAAAGGCCTCTGAGGTCTTTGGCCTTTAAAAATCCTTGCAAAACCCATTGGGTAAACTAAAATAAATGCATGGTCATCACGCTGCAAAAAAGACAGTTATTCCTGGTTCTTGGGAAAAAATGTTTTACCCAACAAAATTGTTGTTGTATGGTACAGATGAAGGACCATGGCCACTTATGTAAATTATATGGAGCAAATTGTTTGTCAGCAAAGCGTAAGACACTAAATAAAAATGTCTTTGAATACCAAGAGAGGTTTTGTCATCCTATGCAGTGGAGTTTTTAAACTGCTCAGACTGCTTGGCCATATCACCGCATTACTTTCAAGTGCAGCTGCATTAAAAGATAACTAACATAATCTTCCTATCTGTGTTCCTACCTTATCATGGATGGCAGTGGAGAAACTGCTCATTCCCTGTATTTTATGGAGCCTGTAGTTGGTTATCTTTTTGAAGTTGTTTCAAGGAGTCATTTAGAGTTGGGCAAGCTATTAGAATCTGTACTGGTACCCTTTTAAACCAAATGATTCATTCTTTCTGCTCCCCTTGCCCTTTGTTCAGGTTTATCTCTGTAATCTGACATCCAGATGTGCTGTCTTGTTGCAGCAGCTCCCGTGGTGGAGCCATGTTGTTTTGGAGGCTCCGGGGCCGGGGAGGGCACTGTTGGTCTACTCTACATGTTGCATCACGAGAAGTGTTTTGCGGCTTTGTGTGGGGGCGAGCAGACTGGCTGGCGGTGGGGAGGTTAAATCCTAGTTTCTGAGGGAGAAGTGGTGGCGGCGGGTAGAAGTTCTTATTTACCACCATCCCTCCCTCCTTTTTCATGGGACACTCTCCAGCTATTGGGAATTTGCATCATTCCGTACAAGATTAGGCCACCTCGGTTCCCACACAATACTTACTGTTTTATCCACATAGCCTGTGATAATTCTAATGTTCATGCGCCAGCTCCCCCCCCCCTCCCCCATCTTTAATCCCTCTACTTTCTTCTCTTATTGCTATATACAGAATGTCCGACCCCTGGTGATAATTCATTCACAATCTCTCTCTTTCTATCTATCTTTCTCCTTCTGCCTGCTATGTATATCCAACCTCTTCCTCTCTTCATGCTTCTTCCTTTCCATCACTCTGTTCTTTCACGCTTGCTCTTTTGAAGTCATGCCGACAGGAACAGAAAGGCACTAAACTTTCCCAGAGAGCCTCCCATTGGCTTCTTGTTGATTTTTCTTTCAAGTTCATTTTCAAACAGCATTTATTCATTTTAAACAGATGAGAATAAAAATCAAGGCATTACAATGCAAATGATGGCACCCACATCTTTCTCAGAATTGTTGTTGTTGGGGTGGGTGTGTGAGTGCGTAGGCAAATACAAGTCTGAATGTGTGTCACTGTCTGAAATCCAAATCCAAGGCTAGTGCTAGCTCTGGATATGAGAGTGTGTAAAGACTGAACCTCAGCCCACACTCTAACATGACTCCATCTCTACACAAAGGGCAGCCTGTGGAGAGCTTCCTGTGTGAGGATTCTTGTGTTTGTGGGCATGCTGGAGAGGCTGTTTAGGTCAGCCGATATTACTCTGGGGGGTGCCTCTTCCTTTGTTGTGCTCCCTACTAAACGCTCTCTCTTTCTCTTTTTCATTCTGTAGTATCTTGTCCCTTGTCTCTTGTGGTCCCTGCCTACTTCCCTGTTGCCCGGCCTCCTTATTTACTCTCCTCCCTCCATCTGGCCTCTTTATTCCGTCCACCACACCACAGACCAGAGTGCAGTTGCTAGGTCTCAACACCCAGTCCAAAGCCACAATGCCCCAGTTTGCCCTTTTAGTTTTGGACAGTTACCTCTTCCTCCTTTTGTGTCGGGTCATATGTTGTCACTGGTATCATGACATGTGGGAGAGGACATAGGAATGTTTTCTTTGTGTTCACAGCAACTGATGGATGAGCTTAGCGCACTGACTTTCTCTGTGTCAGAGTGCACATTAATAATTTTATCTAGCGCCACCAGCAGGTCAAATTCTTCACTTATCACTGAAATATCTCAACATCTACTTAATGGATTGGCACAAAGTTTTGTGCAGATATTCATGATTTTCAGAGGATTTTTGTGATCCCCTGGCTTTTCCTCAAGCACCACCATGGAGTTGACATTTGTGTTGACAACTATGGGATGGATAGACATGAAACTTGATTCAGACATACATGCTTCCCTTGGGATGAATTGTTTCAGTTTTTATTGTTTTACTAGTGCTGTCAATTTTTTAATTTGTTTTATACTTTGGTTTATGACCAAATACCTGCAAATGACACAGTCAGCCTCAGCTGCGCTAATTAGCAGTTGTTAGCATGCTAACATTTTACTGATGCTGAACATGGTAAACATCATGCCCGCTAAGCATCAACATGTTAACTGCTGTGCCTAGGTACAGCCTCATAGAGCTGCTAGCACTTTAGCATCACTCTTGACTTTTAAAGCTAGAGTGCGGGACTTTTACCTATGATTGAATGTCCGTTACATTCAAGTCCCTTGCCAAATGAGTTCACACAAGTTCATGCTGATTAAGCCTATTACCACCATATACGTCATAATAAGCAAGGTGTAAGTTCTGTTCAATTTACCAGCTGCGTCTCTTGTTCTCTCATAACTCCAGAGTCTGTTTGAGGTCAGCCAAGGAAAAGACCTGTGGTTAACCTTCATTAGTGGCCTGTTGAGGGCACTTGTTGGTGAGATCCAATCTTTGGCCCGTTCCTTGTTCTGCCTCAGAGGGTCCCCTTATTATGTGTGTATATTAAACTTTCAACCCATAGTTAACCATTTTAGCCAACTAGGAAGGTGCTTTTTACACAAAGGTTTAATGTAAATAAGTATTTAAACATGTTTAAAAAATGCTAGCTGTTGAGAGTGATGAGAGTCTGTCTGAGTTGCAGGTTAACAGGTTTAAATGCAGAGTGCTGCTACAGTCTTCTTACCATGAGGCTACTTCCACTAACTTTGTTTTTATCTTATCCTTTGTCCTCTGAGATGCTTGTCATCCCATTTTTGCATTTTTTCACTTGCCGTCGTTGCCGTATATTTCCCATGCCTTGCTCCATCTTATTATCCTTCTTTAATCGTAGTTTTAACTTGTCAACATGGTTTCACCATTTAGTAATTCTGCCTCAGGCTGCAAGCATCACTCCAAGCCTCAGACAGTGGAGATTATGAAACATTAGTTCCCCAATGACAAGCCGGTGATTATTTTTGTAGCCTTTGAGGTGGTTGCTTTGTGCATTATTAAGTCGGGGAGTGATTCTTTGCACTAGCTGGGGTGCTAATAAGTGTCTCTGAAGGCATTATAGAAAACATTCCTTTTGTACTGTATCATAGTTCAAATACTATTTGGGATTCAAGAGAATCAGAAGTTTTTTATTTATTTTTTTTTAATCATATTGGATTGTTTTGTCTGATTTTATTCATTATATTATCAATGTTACAGAAGTCTAGTGATTGTTTTTTAATTCTGACAACGCCAGATGATGACAACAGTCTGCTGTGAAGGCCAAACCTTTCCAGGGGATGCCAGGAATAATATTTTTTGTTTACACCGATTCTGTTTGTCCTCTCTAGACTGAGCTGAGTGAACAAAGCAGATCGGAATATTTTTCCAGAGTGGGAGAAACCCAAGAACCTTCAAACAGCCCCACAAAAACAAAGAAGACTGCGCTTCAAAAGATGTAAGTATGATCTAATGCAGAACTTTCCAACCCCACCAGTCAGAGAGGACACTCAAGTATCTGTTCATATCCTCTTATCCTTTTAACTTTTTCAGAGCCAAACAAGCTGGTGTCCAGCGAGAGCTCTGTGGTTCCAGTATGGGGGAGCAGCAGATTGACCAGAGAGCCTGTCCCAAAACCCAAAGAGGGGAACTTAAAGCTGGAGAGTCAGAATCAAGCCCAAAAGAGTCCAGCTCCGGACAGAAGGCCATCCCAGTGGCATACCACAAGGTGCCTTGCCCCATTTCCTTAAATGAGGCCATGGCTCTGATTGTGACTACTCAAAAGCAGGATCTGACCCAGGCGCAGCAAACTGAGCATAGTCCTCCAGACAGCATCAACCCAAATGGGGCCTCAGTAGTTTTCTGCCAAAATGAAACCAGTCAGGAGACAAGCAAGAGGTGCAAGCCGAGCGATGCGGGGGAAGACCCTCACCCACAGAGGGCCAAGAGGACGTGCCTTGGAAGACCTCCAGCCACAATGCAAACTCCCTCCACCACGTGCTCCACACAAACATCCAAGCATGAACTTCTTCCTCTGCCACCCCTTCCTCCAGTGGTAGCCAAGGCAGAGTCCGAGGCTTTCCCAGTCTCCGAGTGCAAGAAAACCACACTGGAAGTAGAGCTGCTTACTCTAGGGAAACGGGCCCAGAGGCTCCCCCTCGCAAGCAATAACACGGCACAGACAAACCAAAACAGGCTGGCCGCAAGTCTGAGGGGCCTATCTGTCAAGCCTGCATCCTCAGGCTCCTCTATTAGTTCCAGATCCACACTCGGAGAGGAGGGGAGTGAAAATGTGCCCAGAACCTCTAGATTACGACGACTGAAGAGGTCCTGAGGGGGAGAGACAAGCTACAGTAAAGATGCCTGACGCCACAGAGATAGAGATGATATTGTGTCAGGCTGGATGTTTACCCCATGCAGTCTCCTCAGATGACATGCATTTGTACACGCGTCACATTTTACTACAATATGCATGTTTCACATGTGCCGTGAATAGTGCAGCAGACACACACACACACACACGCACGCACACACGCACACACCTCTCAAATGCTGAACATATTATGGCAATTGATACATGAGCGTTTGAGTTACGCTTTGTCAAATACTTGAAACAGACTTTGCCTCCACCCATAAGAAGTGGTGGTCAAGAAAGGCTCGCAAATGAAAGTCAAAAACCTTTAATTGGAGTTTAGATTTGGTTTTGTGTTAAAGATTGGGGATTTCAGACAGGCAGGAGCCATGCAGTACGTCATGGCTTTCAGTCGGAAATACTGGCTCCTACGTGTCTGAAAACTGTCCAGTTTCCCCGCTGAAGCTCTGGCGTGATTGATTGCCGTTTCCAGATTTATTTCATCACCCCATTCTCAAAAATGTATTTTTCTAGCTAGTTTACATTCATATACAATTTGCTCTCTACTTGGTTGCTAAGCACCTGAAATGTATCTTTAAATTTGAGGGTATTATTATGCAGCGTTTATATTGAACTTGAACCAAATATGTGTGAATGTGAGTAATATTGAAATATTAGTGGTTTTATTTGGGAATAGCAGGACGTCTACAGTACCACAGGTTAAAACATAGATGCTGTCGTCGCTCCAACACTCGTCAGGGCTGTTATAATCAATCAGTTTGCCCTGTGCAGAGAGAGCATGGGGCAACTAGGGGCCAAAAGCCACTCATACTCCGATGTTCCACTTGATGACATAATGCTGCCTGAATAAATTACTCCTGATTTTTAATTTTACTGGAAAAGCATTTTATTCTGTAAATAAATGTGTTTATCTCTCTGAATCTTTGTGGAAAAATGCAAATAGGATGATCATTTTCGGGAAGCAGCCGACATAAAATAACACGTAGATGTCTTCACGTTGTTTTCCTCACACTCAGTCCAGGCCGGCTGATGCTCATGGCAGTTTGACAGCGAGAAGGTCTGTCCAACAACACTGATGTTGCTAATAAACCTGTTCCCACTTCTCTGAAACTTCTCTGTTCCCAGTCTCCCTCAGTATCAACGGGTGTAACCTGAGATGAGTCACTAGCAGAACGCCAATTCTGTTCTTATCAAGACAGAGACAATATGGTGGATTTGTGAAACTGACTCCACTGTTTTTGTAGTGCATTCACATGTTCCATGAAAGGTTTCCCACGTTGGGAAGTCGTTCGTTCGACTTCTGCGTGTTCATGACCTTAAGTCGTAACATGGAAACAACATGGTCACTACAAAGATATGTTGTATTTTTTAGCGCAGAGCGTTTAAACATGTTAAGCCATTTTCAGTATGTGAGCAAAAATAAAGTGTCATCAACTCAACATTTACTTTCTTTTGGCTGGTTGTGCATCGTGTATCGAGTTGTTCCGACTTAAGGGGGGCGTTTACGTGACTTTTCCCAGTGAGGAACTAGTTTTTCAGATCATTTCGACACCACATGAATGCAAGGTAAGTCCTAACATGTTTAAGGTCATTCTCAATAAGTGTTGATAATCAGTTGAACTACAATGTAGGCTTCATAGGCCTTCTAGTTTGAAAGTTTTTAGTTAAGCCTGCTACTTAAACCAGACCAACAAGGGCAACATTGTCTGGGGATCATGAGGAATGAGGGTATTTATGTCTCCAGTATTGACTTAATGAGGATGGCTTGCTACAACGTAATTAGCTGTAAACACATTTGGACAGAGACCTTGCTCAAGTCTATGATGTCTCTCCAGCAGCAGTTCCCACGCCAGCTGCATGAGAAACCTTTCATATGCTCCAAAATGTTTGGCTTGATGCATCACAGAGACTCTTAACTCACTCTCCAGAACAAAGACAACTTTAATTCTCTTTTCATACAAAATATTTAATAAATATGACTTTCAAAAATATATTGCCAGATCAACACAATTCTCAAGTTCATAACACAAAAGTCAAAAAGGACAAAATGTTGCCATGATCTCAAAGGGTTAAATGAGATAAAACATGTTTGTCTGTAAGAGCCTCATTTTTTAAAAAGAAACAAATGTGCACAGAAAGCAGACTCTTGCAGAGAAAGGCAGTGTATATCATCTGATTCTACAGTGCTCCCATTGCCCCCCTACTGTTCAAGTACTCACTGTCTAGCTTATGATATTATGCTGACTAAAGCAGATGGGAATTCTGGCGTGTCATTGATGTGACTTGCCTTGCAAGTTGGTGGATTTTGACAACCTTTGAAATGTGTCAATGGGTTAAACTGAAGCTGCTGAAGGGTTTTTGTTCCCTTAAGTATTAATCCATTAGTGGCAAGCAATATGTCTGCCACCATGTCCGTCCCTCTCAGCAGCCGGGATCTTTTGTTGTCCTAACCTCACTTGCCTTCAATCAAGGTCCTGGCAACAAATAATGAAATGTCAAATGTGTGGAAAAACAAAACAAAAGCATTTCTTTCAGGCGAAAAGTGCCCATCCTTTGTTTTCTTTGAAATTTGGCTTTTATAGAATGCGTTGAAAAAAGTAATTGAAAGAAATTGTAGGCTTCCACAGCTATCAAAACCTTCAAACTAGACAGAACATATAAATAAAAAGGAATGATATCTTAAGGCTCTTGATTATTAAGTTAATAAATCAAATATACACAATGATTAATAAAAAAAAAAAAAAAAAATGTACATATCTACATGTTCTAAATCGACATAAATTCTTCATACTGGCAGCAACTGCTGACATTGAACCCTTCCCTCCCCCGCCCCAAAACAAAATAAATAATAAAGTTGATCTTTTTTCTCATTTGACAGTTGCTGAAGTCTAAAGCTGAAAAGGCACTTTCTCCAAACAGAATTCAACCACATACTGAAAATAATTAGCTCTAGTGTCGAACACGTCGGGTAGTTTTAGTCATTGTACAACAATTACATCAGGAGCCCCTTCCATGTGTCCACTAAATCTAAATTAAAATAAAAAGAGCAAAATGAAATGCAGAGGACGACACTTTTGCAACTAGTTCTACAGTGAAATGTATACCAGTGCCTTGTGTTTCCAGCCAACCAAAGCAACCGTCACTGCCAGTGTAAGCCAGCTTGTCAAAACTTAAATTAACACGGGGAATATCTGAAAATACTGTGGGGTCACGACTGACACGACAGTTTACTAACTACACATGCCAATGCTCCCCTGTTTCACCCACCACCGGGGTGTGAAGGCATAAGGCTTGGTTGCACAGCAACACAGCTGTCTGCTATACAATGTAGTCCACCCTGTTTATGCTGTTTGCCGTCTCCAAGTCTCTGTTGTCCTGTTTATTAGTCCAGTTGGGATTTTTGGATGTGGAGATGGGCGTCTTCTCGTCCCTCTCCACCAGTGTGTATGCTGGCTGTTTGGTAAAGCGGCCCTTCTGTAAGTGCCTCTCCTTGTCGTCCTCATCCCCCTCGGGATGATTTGTCCTTATTTTGGCAATGATGGAGTTCTTGTTTTCGTAGTCTTTGATGGCCACCGTGAGGCCCACATGCTTCTCTATAGGGTTCTTGATCTGGTTGAGCTGCTCCCGTACATTGTTGGTTGTGTTGTCCTCTGAGCCAGCGGCCGACGTCCCATTGTGGTTGCTCTGTTTCCGCCGGCGCCGCATGCACCACAGCAAAATGGAGACCAGCACAAGGACCCAGATGACAATGAAGATGGAGCTGAGGAGGGGCACTAGGTAGTCTGACGGAAGAAAATACAATCACAGGTCAAAGAGACGCTACAACTGTGTAAGAATCAAGTCCCAATCATTCAAACAATACACAAAAGGTTTTATTATACTACTACTAATCATTAGCATGCTTTTACCAGTGCAACCTGACCTCTCAGCCCTGAACAGGGGAGGAGGCTGCTTCTATTTGGCCGTGGCGGCAGTCTGCTGTCACTATATTGATGAATGGTGGACACATGCGGGAGTCTCACTAGTCACAGTACGAGCCAATCTAAAACCACGCAGCCAAGCAATTCTGCTCTTTCCATCGAAGTCCTGGCTAGATTTGTTTTAAGCTCCATTACAACTGTCATGAGATGGCAGACCTGGGCGGCCCGAGTTATGTGGGAGGATTAGGAATTCTTTTTCACACATGCACGTTTTTCTTTGGTGCTCGGCCCTGCTGTCATATTCAGGGATTGGCTCTATTTCATCTGACCTTTTCAAAAAAAGTAGAATGTCCTCCCACCTTTTTCTACAAATGCAAGTGTGTGCAAGTCTGGAAAACTTCACAGGCAACAACCAGAGTTTTGAGGCTGTTCATACCAGTTTTGCTGGGGCTTGGCACGCGCACCTCTGCGATGGAAGTGATGATGGTGTTATTCCCGTTGCGTTTGCTAACCAGGTCGATTATCCTGTCTGTGATCTCTTTAATGGGGCTCCGATCCAAGAGATGGTCCTCGGTAGACTAGAAGTGACAAGAAGAAAGTGAGGTTTGAAATCTGTTGGTTTGTCTGGCCATTGATCATGTGTACCTGCTGTCAACTGATGACACAAAACAACCAAACCTTAATCCACCACATGTCCCATAAGAGCATGTCTTTATGTTGCTAAGAATAAGGTCATCAGGGCATAAATCAAAGAGGATTTCTTTTGACTATGCATTAATAGAGGCAAACATATGGCAGACTGGGAGTGGGAGGGAGGTACTTACGATGCAGACGTGGATCTCGTTGCTGGCTGAGAATGAGGGGTCACAGGTTATGGACACAGAATGCTCCAAGGAGAAATTCTTCACTATGTACAAGCGCCTCAGCTGCTTACACACATCCTCCACAGTCAAGCTCTGTACACGAAGAAGAAATGAAACAAATGTTAACGCACATGGAAAAATAGAGGGCAATCAAGAAAAAGGAAGAGCTAGGCCTGCATTTTGGAAGTAGGTTCAACATGCTATCTGGTTGGGATCCACCTCATTTAGATTAAAGACCACAGACTCATATGCTTGTCACTATCTGCTGTCATGCTTGTTAAGCAACTGGCGAGTGATGATCCTATGTGGTGACAGAGTCGCCAGTGGTCCTGTTTAGCTCAAATCCATATGATCCTGAAATTAATCTTGCAGTGCGGTCGGGTTAAGAGGAAATTGGCATGAGTTGCGAAGTCGGGAATGCTTGATTTTCAGAAGCACCAAAAGTTGGACGCAGTCAACAAAAGACAGGGAGAGAAAAAAGAAAGATCCTCACATTTTTCTTCCTGGAACACATTTTAAAAATACATGACTGAATTGTTCAGGAGTCTTAGACTAGAAATAATTTTGCCCAGGAGGGATGGTTCAGCAGTTCTGAAAAACTTTCACAGATTGCTGTTCCCAATCATTTAAGCGTGGCAGTGGAGGAGAGGCATGAAACATAACCCCAAAGACTCTTTCATTCATTCACTCTCTCCCTCTCTGGTGCCTAGGTAACTCACTCGAGGCATGGTCTCCTTGTTGAAGGTGAAGGTGATGTTGGCGCAGCTGTTGTCCTGATAACTGGAGCTAGGATGGCATTTGGTGGGAGGCGGGGGAGGGTTGGAGTGCCAGCACTCTCCGAGGCTGAGGCAGGACTTCACAAAGCAGTGGTTTTCCCTGATGGGGATGCAGCTCTGGCCTGAAGGACACCCGCCTCGACCTTTGGCACCCAGGTGGCATGACATGGGGCCACACCACATCTGGAGAGAGCAAAACATGACAGGGGAAACCGTGTTGAGATAACGTCAAGGACCCTTCGTTAAATTAAACACATATGAACAGGACTACAGCTGATGATTGGATGGGCTGCCATGACATTTGGTATAGACATTCATGTCCCCGTCAGGATGAAGTGTAATAACTTTGGTGATTTTGTAGCAGATCAAAATTTCACTTTTTCCAAATTTCACTTAACGACCAAATTACCTGCAAAACTAATGGCATTCCCGTTAGCCCCATCAGTAGTTTTTGTTCAGTTCTAATTAGCAAATATTAGCACACTAACACACAAACATATTAAACCTGCGAAACATCAGCATGTCAGCAATATCATTGAGAGCACAGCAGCATGCTGAAGTTAGCATTCAGCTCAAAGTTCCTATACAGCCGGTTTGACATTTGTTGAACTCAAGAGGTTCAATCCCCAGTCCGGACAGTAAAAAGATGCAATCAATGGCACAAGTTTTCCCAAGTCAAGAATAATAGTGGCTCTGAAAAGATTCCTTTCTCTCTGTTGCATATCAAGGGATATGCTTACGCCATCTACATTAAACACACAAACCACTGTTAGCAAAAGTACGGTAAAACCCAACTATAATTGCATTCACATTTCAGACTACACGGTAGCCTGTACTTCAACAGCTCTGGATCATTTTCACCTCATGATGCATTTTCCTCCTGAGGGGAGCAATATCAGTGAGGCACCATTGTTCGTCTGGCAGTTACACAAACTTGATGATAGCACTACTTCAGGCCTCTACTGTATATCACCCAATCTTTGCTCAGTGTGACTTTGGGAGATTCTTAACTGGCATCAGACAGGTATTTTCGAACAGTGCGATTGTGTTTCTTTTCAAAACAATCATCTCTGTATAGAATTTGACACTCCCAAGCCAACTCCACCCTGTGAGTGTTGTTGTGGCCTGACATGGCCCTACCTGAGATCTCTAAGATAGAGCCTTCCACCACCCACACAACCTTTTGAGCCATTTATCGAGTGTTTTTTTCCCCCTCCACAGTTCTTCTCCCAGTGCTTCACAGTACTTCACGTACAGAGCCTTCATAAATACATCACTTTCACATTACTTCTACATTTAGTGCACAGGCAGAGTTAGTGCGTTTGGCCATACCTTTGTGCAAACAACCTTCCCATTGGAACAGTGGCAAGTGTTGCAGTCTTCCTCCCATTTGACTCCATCAGCGGTCATGTGTCCATTAACAGAGCAAGGTTTTCTTGTCACTGTTACATAAAAACACAGTATTAGAAATATATCCAAGAAGGTGCGTTTGTTAGGTGGATTGGTCCTTTATCATCTAGTGAAGACTTCTACCTTCTTGACAGTGGGGTCCAGTCCTGTCTGGTGAACACAGGCAGCGATAGCCGTTGATCTCATCCACACAGGTGGAGCCAAAGGCACAGGGAGAGGACTGGCACTCATTAATATCTGTCACAGAGGAGAAGAGCGAGAGGTAAGAAATGGCTCCCTTTTTTTTTTTTTTTTTTAGCACACTCAGACAGCACACAAATACTGGGTTAAGCTGTCGGCACACAAATCTAATGGCAAAATGAACTGAGGTCGTGTATGATTTGAACAGTACCATAACACACTAGTTAATAAACAGGCAAACATGCTTTAAATCAACCCTGGACGTTATTGCCCCACACAGCTTTATTACAATGCAGCATCATTAGCAGGTATGCAGGAGCTAAAGGCTGGACTTAGCAGAACAAAGGGTTTGCAATGGGAAAGAATGTGGCCATCTGAAAGCCTTTAAGAGGGAAAACAATCTGTGTAATCAGTGTCAAAGAGCATGGCTGATTAGCTGTTGGCCTGCTAAGCCGGTTTCCCCCGGGGACAGCAGCAGGGCCCGGTGTAGTGACACTGAAATGACTGGGCCTGGCCTGCAGCCCAATGCACAGATAATTGGCCGGCTAGACCTTCCATTTGGAGCGACTGTGACGGTCCCGTGGCCCGGGCTCGCTCTAAAAGGGATCAGGGAGGAGTGGGAGGCAGGGTTAATACTCACTGATCCGACAGTCTGGACCAGCGAAGCCTGGGGCACACTCGCATCGGTACCAGTTATCCCCGTCGACGCAGGTTCCGCTGTTGTAGCTGCGGAGGAAAAAAAATAAAATGATGGGGTGAGACTTCAGTTTGTATCTCAGGCTTCTTTAAAAGATGGACATCTATCTATCTATCACAACTCTTTTAGGCTGTAATAATCTCACCAGTCAACATATTAATAATAATAAATCATACATTTCTAAAAAAAACGCAATTAAGACAATCAGACTTTTTCCTTTTTATAAGAGCGTGTGGGTTTGGGAGCGAGCTCCAGTGGTGTGTGGTTAACTAAGAGTTCCGCCTGTTGGAGTTCACAAAAGAGAGTTAGCTGATTGCATCCCAGGAATGACAGGGATGGGTGTACGCCTGGTTCTCAGCAGAGAGGCGGTGAGAGAGAAAGCCTGCAGGTGAGAAACTACGATACAGGAGGAGCACCCTGTTTACGTCTGTCAAAATCTACAGGAAATGTTTCTACTTACCATGGGTGTGGACTGCAGTCGTTGGTATCTGAAAGAGAAAAAAAAAAAAAATAGAGAAAGGGAGGGGAGAGATACAACATAGTGAGTGTGTTGTTTATGTCCTCTCATGTATGACTGTTCAGTGCACATCACAGCAAAAAGAGCACGTCTGAGCTTGCGTGTGTGAGGCGTGTTGTGCCGGTCGGCCTGGACTCTGCACCGCATGATTACTTTGCACAGAGCAAATGTCCACCACCACCTCCACATTCCCACCTCAGCTGTTTCTCCCTCCCTTACAAAAGTGAGAGAATGTTTTGGAGTACATGCGTACAGGGAAGCCAGGGAAAAGGAGGAGGGCTGAAGAACAAGCCGACATGTCACTGTTTGGACAGGAATGCAACGACAAGAGGGGAGAGAGGAGTGTGTTGGATGAGGGGGGAGACATCTGTCTTCACTTTCCTGAGCCCCTTTCTCCCTCCTCCTTCTCTTTCTCCTCTCATGGCCGGCAGCAGCCAGAGATTTTTTTGGGAGGGGAATAAAGATCAAGAAGGGATGGGGGATTCAGATTTAATCAGATGCAGGACTTCACCTCTGCACTAGGTAGCAGGAGGTTTATCATCATTTAATAGCAATAACTGTCTACCATTCCCCTTTAAAGAGTACTTACTCTGGGTGCACGTGGGACCCTCCCAGCCTTCCTTGCAGACGCAGGTAAACGACTCCCCTGTCACCACACAAGTACCTCCATTCTCACACGGGTTTGGAAGACAACTTGAATTTTTGGCTGAGAGAGGGAAAAAGAGAAGTAGTTTGTCAGTGATTTTTTCCCAACTTTAAAAAGGAGGATTATCAGTAAAATCACTGTTCAAAAAGAGTCACAGGAGACTGCTGTTGGTTTGGCTCTTTTTTTTTTGGTCGGGTTTCCGTTTTCTTTGAGGGAATCTGCATTCCACGACTTTGAAGTGTATTGTCAGTGCAATCAGGGATTTTAAGCGGATATCTGTCAGCACTCACAAGAGAGGGAGAGGGGAAGGGAGGGAGCGTTGACAGAGTGAAGGGATAAAAACTGTTTGTGGACCTCGCGGATCTGACAGATCTGATGAATATCTGAGACAAGGCCGAGCTCTCCCATAAAGCAATCTTCTGTGTGTGTGAATACATAAGAAACATTAAACCAAACCGCCCTGACGGTGTGACTCACCTATGTTACACGTCGTACCCTCCCACCCAGGGGAACACTTGCACTGGAACGTGTCGCCCTCGTCGTGGCAGGTGCCTCCGTTGTTGCAAGTGGCTTCATCGCACTGACTTTCGCCTGAGGGGAGTATTTTAAAATCTTAAGGTTGCTTAAGCTGTGCACTCAACATGAGTCTAACTACACACACATGATTGTATAGAACACTGTAACTATATACAACACATACCATAAGCCTGCATGGACAGAATACATGGGTGTGGAGGAAGAAATAAAAGGGCTCTTACGGGAGTGGCATGTCTTTCCCTTCCAGCCATTCTTGCACTCGCAGAAGAAATCAGTCACCAGGTCTCGACATGTCCCTCCATTATGACAGGGGTTGGTGCTACAGTCATCGATGTCTGGTGGAGACAATTGGAAGGGAGTGTGATTCATGTCACATCAGAAAACAGACTTTGTATGTATATAGGTAAGTATATAGGTGTGGGTTTGTTTTGAGGCGCTTTGAAAACAAGTACTACTTACTGATCTCGCAGTGGTCGCCCTCCCAACCGTCGCCACAGATGCACTGGTACACGCTGACTTTGTCAATGCAGGTGCCTCCATTGCGGCATGGGTTACTCTCGCAGTCGTTGATATCTGACATGTTAAAAAATAAAATGAAAGACAAAAAACATGAGATTGAAAAAAGTTTTCCCTTTTGGGAGGACATACAGTAGAGGGCATGGTCTTGACTCGACCTGGGCCACTGCTGTAAGGACTCAGCCTTAATATTGGTAAGCGCGCTACCAGGTGAGCTACTGTCCCCCACTCCCCCAAGAATGTGCAGAGGCCAATCAAATTTATTGATGTTTAGTTGTGCCCTGTGTTGTGTGTCTGTGTGGTATCTGGACTTACTCTCGTGGCAGTAGGTGCCTCTGAAGCCCTCCTGGCACTCGCAGCTGAACTGGCCCCGGCCTGGCTCCGGCAGCGGCCGTGAGGTCCACACACATTTGACGAAATGTAGCGTTCTCCTCCCGGCGTGCTGTTCGACGCCACGGCAACTGTGCAGCTATCAATCACTGCGGAGAGACAGTGAAACAACTGACGAAACCTGTTTCAACAAATACTCGTTCCAAATCATAAAATGCGTTTGTGTTTTCCAAATGAAAAGGAGGAATGGGAATTTAGTTTAATTGCTGTGTAGTGAGAGAGCCAACAAGTGACAGAGAGAGAAAGAGAGAGAGACAGAGGATGAGATTAAGGCCCACAGGCCTTTACAGATAATAATTCAAGCAAGTTGGTTAAAAATTCCCATCTCCCAAAAAAAAAAAAAAAACCCAGTATCATATAAAAAATTTACGATAAAAGAAACAGCGATAAGCTGTTATGCTTTCATAAGCAATTCAGAGTGATCTTTTTCACTCTGCACTGAAATCCCTTCCTTTCCCCCTGTCTGATCAGGTTAGGAGAGCGAGGTGAATTTGCTCCCCTGTAATCACTTAATTCTTGCCAAGAGCAGAGAGAATTTCACCACCTGGTATCTGACTCCGTGGTTGGTCCACTCACTCAATTACACACACACACACACACACACACACACACACACACACACACACACACACGGGGGGGGGGGGGAGGTAGCCCACCAAGTCATTACCAAGAACACACAGTGCTATCAGCCTTTTGCCAGATTTTCAAGGAATTCAGAGGAGGGGAGAATCACTGGAAAAGCTTTGCTGAGGAGATGGAGGGGGGCATTCATCAAGGGAGCTGCACTCAAAAAAAAAAAAAAAAAAAAAGCTCACCTTGGCCAAGAAACTTCAGCACACGAAACTAAAATATAGGTATTGCCCTCATGGGAAAAATGTGGGCAAAGTGTTCAGGCAAATGTTGAAGACCTGGCCTTATTCAGCAGTTTACTACAGCATGCTATGCAGATCACATTACAGAAATGTTCTGGAAAAAGACAGAGCAAAAAGCTTGTGGTTATTGCAGGCAGGAGATGTACCTTTACAAGTCGTGGTGCGACAGTGGTCTTTGAGGTGAGAGCAGTTTTTGCCCTCGTAGTCTTCCGGGCAAGCGCAGTAGTAGTCTGTGGCCAGGTTGAAGCAGGGCGCTCCGTTCTGACACGGGTTGGGAGAGCAGTAATCGATATCCAGCTAGGAAAGAAAGGTATTGAATAGAGAACGGTGAACCTGATAGCTGACATAGTTTCTGCTACACTAAACAGAGCAAAACCCACAGCATCCTCCCTACAGGCTGTGCCAGGAAACAACACACGCACAGCGCTTGGAGGAAGGGGGAAAACAAGGCAGAGACATAGGAGCCGTCCTCTGAGTCTGGGCTTCAGCACTAAGGAATGTATCCCGCTGTAGCCAGGAGCAGCTTCAACAAAGCACTCCCTTTTAAAAAAGGAGGACTGTGGAACAACAGCCATTTAAGAGGGTGGGGCAGGAAAACTTTACAACAAAACCAAAGATACTGCAATGCCGGCAGAAAAGGGGCTAGCGAGATGCATGCATTTGTGCTTTATTGTGTATGGGATAGTGGTGGGACTCGTGTCTCACCTGGCAGAGATTTCCTGAAAAGCCAGCCAGACACAAGCACTGGAAGCCGTTCACTTCGTCCTGACAGCGCCCGCCGTTCAGGCATGGCGAGCTTGCACACTCGTCGATGTCCCTCTCACAATGCTCGCCAGCGAAGCCAGGGGGGCACATGCAACGATAGCCGTTTACCAAGTCCTGAGAGAAAGGAACCAGGGTTAACCTCATGCAGCCACAAATTTGATCAACTGCTTTGATAGGGTGGGGTCCAAACAATAACTGTCAAACCAGAGAACAGAACGAAGAGCACGGAAGGGGTGGTGGGGGGGTAGCGCAACAAGTTTGGGGGAAGATTATAACAGCTACGCAATTATTTCAACACATTTTCCTGGCACGGGCTCAACACAATAATGTTTATGGTAATTTAATCTAATGTGGTCAAGAAACTTGTGTGTCCCTCCCATAGAAACCCCTCTGAACCCACTCCCCTCAGATTGATTTCAGAGAGGAATTCCACAACAATTCCACTGTCGGTTTGGAGAGAACAGTTTACAGCTATTTATATGACCACTGTAAATGTCTCAGGCTTCAACAAAAAGACACAATAAAACAAACAAACAAGCTAGCAAACAAAGCAGTGACCAGATAAAGCTAGATGGTTTTTGACTCAACACGTACCTTGCAAGTTCCCCCATTTTGGCACTGGTCCTTGCAGTCGTTTATATCTGCACAGGAAAATAAATGAGGATTAATTCTGAACAGCTTGACTAAATAGTTCTCTTGAAAACAAGTCTGTGCTTAATGTTTCCCATGCTAGGGGCCTTTAAAAACATTGTCGGAGTAGAGAGTGCTCTGTAAGAGCTGGATAACGTGGCTACAGAATCAGTACAACACAGTATGAGCAATCCTGTCTACTGCCAAGTGAAACTAGTCCTGGGATTGTTTTGAGCACCTCTATTCACCACAGCCTTGGCCACACACAGGGCTAATAGTGATACAGCAGATTAATTACACTGCAGGAAAAGGCTGCACTTGTCCAACTGTTTGCTTTACGCCTTCATGTTACAGCTTTAATTGAAAGAAGGAAATTAAGGAGGGAGCAGCTGGACAGGTGTCCCGTTCCACAGCTGCAACTGACAGCCTTCAACTCACTGGTTTCGCAGTTCTGCCCTGTCCAACCAGGGACGCACTCGCAGAAGTATCCACCAATCAGTTCCGGCATGAGTTGGCATTGACACAAGGCTTGCTATCGCATCGTTGGCATCTAGAGCGGGAGAGAAGGGGTTAGTGGCATTTGCATGTGCAGTTGACAGGCGTGGAAAGAGGAAAAGAGGCAGGGTGGTCACCTATCAGACTGTCTTCCCTGACCACTGTGAAGGACAGTGACACTTGTAACTGTTTACCAGATCCTGGCAGGTACCCCCGTGACTACAGGGGTTTGGAGAGCAGTCGTCAACATCTAAGCATAAGAAGTCGATTTTGGTTAGTCAACATGATTTTCTCTGTGAGGGTACTGACTTTTAATGGTGCAGGTTGAGTGAATTCTACTGATAGTGCAGGAGGGGCCGCTCCAGCCTGGCGCACACTGACAGTAGCCATGACTGGTTTCTGAACAAACCCCTCCATTGGAGCATGGATGGACAGACAGGCATGTTCCGCTAGAAAAAAAGAAAGAACATTTTGGAAACAGGTCTCACACACCCCTTGTAAGTCATTTTACATTTAACAAAGAAAAAAAATTTTTTACGATACTTAATTTGTGATTAACTCTAATCGCACAGCGTACCCTGTGCTGGACAAACTTCACT